AAGCGAGTCCAAAAAATCTAATTTCTTGGTGTTACTATAGATGCCTCTTTGACTTGGAAAGAACATATTAATAAGATTAGCAATTTAGTTTCTAGAAATATAGGAATAATGAATAAATTAAAAAATATTTTTCCTCAACAAATATTATTAACTCTTTATAATACCTAAGTTTTACCTTATCTATCTTATGCTAATTTATGTTGGGCAATTACATTAGATAAATTTGAGACTCTATGCCCCTGTACAAGTCTAGAGAAAATCCAGATCGATCGCCTTTTAAATTAAAAAAAACGTGCTCCTCCGGATATGTGCAGGGGTATCATTTAGGTTGCATACAAAATTACTGTACTTATAAAAAATTTAATGTTTTAAATATTCATGATTTAAATAAATTACAAGTTGCCTCACTTATGTATCGCTTATCCAACAAGTTATTACCTTCACGTGTTAATGCTTTATTTACAAGAATTGATGAACGTCATACCCATAATACTCGATTTTCTACCAACAATTATTTTGCTGATATTTTAAATGCTAAGGTTCATCAATCCTCAGTTTTCTATTTTGGTCTGGTTTCACTTCCAATTGACTTTAAACAGAAACCTTCTTTTTCTAGTTTTAAATTTAATTTTTAAAAAACATCTGGTGTCGATATTTGGTAATTAGTCTCTTTATTATAATATATTTCACTGTCAATAAATATTATATTTTTATTATATGTAACCTTATGTAACTGCCTGGTTAAATTTTATTTATTTCATATTTATTTATTTTATTTTTTTCATTTTTTATTTCAAGTCTGTTTACTCCATATCATGTTTATTTATATTGAATTGGGGGTCATGACTTAAAGTTCAAAGCAATTGAGCTCGAATTTACCAGGAATGATAATTGGGACCTTCTAAACATGAAAAACTACTCTTCACCTATAGGTGAAAAATCACAAGGGTCACTATAGTGAAAATTTTCAAATATTGCTAGTGACTAACGATTGAACCAATTGCATTAGACAGACTCCTACCAAACATGGGGTGTTCACAGGTTGAGGTTAAAAGTCACAGTGGTTATCTCTTTAAAAAAAAATGACTGGGTTCATGTTCTATTGAACATAGTATCTCTAGTTATTATCATTATTATTATTGTGATGAAAAGTTAACAAAAACAGTTTAATAAAAGTAAATATTTTTTTTATTTGTTTATTCCCCGACAAAATTTACTCGACTTCCCCGACAAGGGGGGGGGGGGGGGGGGGGGGGGGCACCCCTGAAATGAATACTACACTAGCGTATCGGAAATTTATAACTATGTTTCAACGTGCGTACGATAGGTGCTTTGACTAGAACAATAGAAGAAAAGCTTTGCTTACGCCTTCTCGGGTCTCTAATGTAAACACAAACGCAATAAGCTTCATAATAGATACATTATTAGAAAACTGATTGTGCTAAAGTAG